TTACTATCATTCTGTCACATAATGATCTCATTGATGATTTTTTGCTGAATTAGTTATTTTATTACAGGCTACCAAGTGACAGTTTTCTAATTGTAATAGTATATTACAATTAGAAAACTGTCACTTGGTAGCCTGTAATAAGAGGATTTTTTTTTCCCCATCAACTCTGGTTAGTTGAAAAAACAGGATTAGTCCTTAATTTTTTGTTTTAATATTTAATTTTCAGAAATAGATATTGATGCCTTTCTCACCTCTAGGAGTAACCAATAAGTTCTGGGTTTTATGTTTTTATTATTATTTTTTAATGAACTCCTGGATTTTTATATATAGTCTATGTGTTTTAGTCACTTGCAGGATAATTATTCATTTTGATTTCTGTTTGTTTTTGGTCACTGGGAGGCCCCTATTATTGTTTCTTATGTCCTTTTCACAGGACTCATTTGTTTCATTTGTTTGGTTTTCTTTTTTGAGTACTGGTGATCAAACCAGGGCCTCACATATGCTAGGCAAGCACTGTAGCATTGAATTATATCCCCAGCCCAGGACCCCATTTATCTTTGATAATTTTCTTCTTTATTTGCTTTTAGGCCAATGTATCTCAGGCTAATTTGTATATTTTCTGTTGTAGTCCTAGAAATAGCCATTCTTCCCAGGAGCTAAGTTTTCCTTTAGTGGGCATGATGCTTATAAACTACAGTGTGCCTTTTATTTAGAAAAAGGGTCTCATTGAGTTCCTCAGGGCCTTGATAAATTACTGAGGCTTTGAATTTGTGGTCCTCCTGCCTCAGCCTCCCAAGCTGCTGGGATTATAGGCATGCACCACTGTGCCTGGCTATCATTTCTATATATTTCAACAATGAATTATTTGAAAAAGAAGTCAAAAAAAAAGAAGAAGAAGAAAAGAAAACACAGCTACCAAACTTAGGAATAAGTTTAATTGAGGAAGTGAAAGGATGATAAAATAAATTCAAGAACACACAAATAGATGGAGAGAGATTATATGTTCATGGACTGAAAGATTTAATATTGTTAAAATGTCAATAATAGTCAAAGTGACATACAGATTAAGATCTTTATAAAAATTTTTGTTTTTATAGAAATAGAAAACACAATTATAAAGTTTAAATGAAACCATAGAATGTCTTTAATAGCCAAATCAATCATGAACAAAAAGAACAAAGTAGTAGACCATACTATAAACTGTAGTAATTAAAATGCATGGGGAAAAAGATACAACCGGGGGAAGACGAGAGTAGAGAAGAGAACCCACACATATATAGTCAACTGGTTTTCTACAGAGGTGCCAGGAATACTCTATGGAAAAAGGGTAGTCTCTAATAAATAGTGTTGGTACAACTGGATATCCATATGCAGAGGAATGAAATTGGAACCTTATTCACACCAGATGCAAAAATGAACTCAAAATTGGTTTTAAAAAAAAAACCACAAGGCTTGGTTTAAAATCTGTGAAGGATAATAACATCCCTTATAATAGTTTGTTTTCCCATTCAGAAATACAACAGTGTCTCTCCATTTATTTCGTTTCCTTTATACCCAACAGTAAGTTTTTATAATTGTCTTCATGTAAGTTCTAAATCTTTCTTATTAAGTTAATTTTTTATATTTTATGTCCACTAAAGGATCTGTTAACAAGTTTCCTCTAAGAAAGGAAGGAAAGGGGAGAAACTCAAAAAGAAAAAGAAAAGGGTAGCTACCATTCAGAATATTCTCAGTAGTCCTTAAAGTTTAACCTGCCTCTGGTAATCTTATTTTTCTTTGAAAGTTCTTTAAGCATATAAATAACTGAGAATATAATTTAGTAAAAATTGCTGTGAAAATTACAGTTTTATCGTCAAAGTACTGTAAAATACATCATTATTAAGACTTGACTCCAGGGTACTTTTTAAGCTTTACTTTTTTGCTTGTGGTTTTTGGCATCCTCTACAGACTTGAATGTTGTTCTAGGACAGAACATTTTCATAATTTATTTTGGTGAAGGATAACCATATCAAGTAACGTTTCAGAACTATACATTGCATAATCTTGGACATTTTTATATAAGAAGGCACTAAGGAGGCTTTATTTTTTATGAAAGTGCAACTCTTAAGTAACAGTGACTGTTTTTTATGGGATAACTCCAGACCACATTTGCTTACTTCCCACGCTCTACTTTTTCTGATGGCCCAAGCTTTAAGTATAGAGGTCAGGGTAACATTCTTAAGGCCCTCTGTTTGAATCCATGTTAAAATGGATATCATTCAGTTTAAAAAAACTAGTTTTTTTTTCTTTTTTTTAAATTATTTTTTGATGTTTTAATACTGTGTTTATTTTTTAAAGCTTTTTATCTTGAAATTAGAATTACAAAAAGGTTACAAAATAGTACAAATAAGGTTACAAAAATAGTACACATAATTTTCATTTACCTTTTACTCAGATTCCACAAAATTTACCACGTTTGTTTTGTCATCATTCCATCTCTCTTCTTTTGAAATGCTTGAGAATGAATGTATAGATATGATGTACCATACCTCTGACAACTCCAGTATGTGTTTCTTTAAAAAAAAAAAAAAAAGAAGAAGAAGAAGAAGACATTATCAAAATCAGGAAATTAACATTAATTTTAAAAGGTATTGTCTAATTTCTGTCTTCCAACTTTTTTTGTCCTTTGCCCTGCTAATTCCCTTTCTAGGGAAAAAGAGAAAAATGCCTTTTCCCCTATAGTAGAGAATTCAATACCAAAACCACATGTTACAGTTTGTTGTCCTTGTTCATCTTTAATCTGAAACAGTCCCTCAGTCTTTGTCTTTCATGGCCTTCAAAAGCTAAAGGGTACAAAACTTTTTTTTTTTTTTTAAGACTCAATCTCAATTTAAGTTTGTCTGATTCCTCAGCAGTAGGTTTTCACTATGCTGTGGTCCTTTCAGGAGACACATGATGTCTGCTTGTCTCATTTCTGATAATAAAAGTAACTGCTGATCACTTGTTGAAAGTGGTGGTGAAGCACATTTTTAAAGAACACAGTTTTTCAGTTTTCTTGACTTTACTCGCCTTTGGTAAATTGAGTCCTTTTTGAAATTCATTGAATTGCCTTATTGGGGATATTATTAGCTTTCAAAGACTTTTCCAATTTCAGTAAAGTCTTGTTCTCTCTTTCCCTCTAGTGTATAAGCTCTGTAACAGTAGGGATTTTTAGTTTGTTCTTTATCCTATCTTCAGTGCCCAGCACTAGGTAGTAGTTAGTGCCTGGCCAGTTGGTTTTTTGGTTAGTAGTTAAATGGATGAGTGCATTGTTTATTTGTGGAAATTTGCCAATTGAAAGTCTTCCAATGAACTAGTTTTATTTTGAGTTCAGCGTACTTTAATAATCATCTGACACCCCGTTGGTAACTTTATGCTTTTGACGTGGTTCTCTAAGACTAGTAGTCAAGGTGTGTCACTTTATATGTTCACTATTTTGTTGTTCACCTTCTCAGATTGATTTTGCATTTTCCTCTTTAAACTTGTTACCCTTAAATGGCCTGAAATATGGTAACAGTGAAACTTCCCTAACTTTAATAATAATCCTAATTCTAATTGTCCCTCTGATTACTTTACTTTTTCATAATATCCTTCAAAATTTTGGAGCAGTTTAAAAGTTTTAAGTTCTGTGTTATTTGTGGAATTAAGACAAAAGAGATCAAATACTCACTATTTTAAAGCTGCTAATTACTGAGCTGGATCTAGACTTTTAAATTTTCTGATTCCTTATTTAATATTTCCTTTGCCACAGCACCTTCCATATCATTGCATATCTGACAAGAATGTATTTCAAATACTGTGAAGAGAAAATATCTTGGATCACTTTATTCCACCAAAGCAGATATGTGATTCACTGATGACACCAACGTATTTTGAGACTTTTTTCCCTATGAGTTTTTGTGTTTATTTTTTCCTTTTAAATAGACTTAAAAAATAGTTTTAGCTTCACAGCAGAATTGAGCAGAAAAATTCATTACAAGTAATAAATGCAATGACAAATCATTGTCACCCAAAGACTTTAATGTTACATTAAGGTTCACTTTCAGTGTTGCATATTCTATGGCTTTGAACAAATGTATAAAGGCATGTATTTACCTTTATAGTCTCTACAAAGTATTTTCATTGTCCTAAAACTCCTCTGTGCTTTGCCTCTTCATCCCTCCCCTCCTTCCTAACCCCTGGCAACCACTGATCTTTCTATTGACTCCCTAGTTTTACCTTTTTCACAGTGTCATATAGTTGGAATCACAATATGTAGGCTTTGCAGATTGGCTTCTTGATATATGCACTTCTTCTATGTCTTTTCATGACTTAGATAGCTCATTTCTTTTTAGTGCTAAGTAATACTCTGTTGTCTGAATATAATGCAGTTTATCCATTTTCCTACCAAAGGATATCTTGGTTGTTTTTAAGTTTTTCAGTTACAGAGCTACTGTAAGCATCCATATGCAGGTTTTTTGGGTGGACATACATTTTCAGCTTCTTTGGGTAAATTCTGAGGAGCACATTGCTGGATTTTATGGTAAGAGTGTCTTTAGTTTTGTAAGAAACTGCAGAGTTGTCTTCTAGAGTGACTGTGCCACTTCCATTCCCTCCACTAGTGAGTGAGATTTTCTGTGGTGTTATCATTGTTCCAGATTTTAGTTGTTCTAATGGATCTGTACTGCTATCTCATTGTTGTTTTAATTCTCATTTCTCTAATGACACATGATGGGGAACACTTTTTCATGGACTAATTTGCCATCTGTACATCTTCTTTGGTGAGGTGTCTGTTCATATCTTATGCCCATTTTTTAATCAGGGTTTTTTGTTGTTTTTTGCTTGCTTTTTTATCCTTTTTATGTTCTCTTTTAATAGTTGTTTTATCTTGGGCACCATCTAGTGAAGATACACAGAAAGCTTTGAGGACATAAAGAATGACTTTATTTTTTTCAAAGGAAAACTTCTCTTTCTGTTTCTCTCCTTTTACCTTTGTCTTTCAGTTATACCTGCCGCCACTTGCGGAGATATGTTTATGTGTTGGACAAACTGTATTTCCCCCACTCTCACTGTTCTACGCTTCAGCATTGCTTCTCGGCCCTCAGTGAAAATGGAGAGGAACTCTTGTCTTTAACTTGCTCTCACATTCTCAGATCCTATGCTTCCAGGTTATTAACCTCTGCTGTCCATTTACTGCATGCTGCATGGTGTGTATAACTGATAATTGCATGCTTTCATAGGACACATGTCAATTAAATAATAAGAGTGAAAATTTATATTTGAACTACTGCTAAATAATTCTTTAAAGTGCTGCCTGGGATTTGTTTCCTTACATATGTCTTCAGTACTTTATATTATGTTTCATGGGAAAGAAGAAAACTTTTAGCCACACAATTGTCACATAAACTTGTCAGAACTTTTCTATATTTTGTTTCCTTTGCAGATCTCTTGACTTATTTTATAGTAGTTGGAGTGCTCTGTCTTATTTGCCTATGAAATGCACTTTACAGTTAACCGTCAATTACAAATGAAATTTTAGTTCTTTGTCTTGATCTGTAAGTGCACCTAGGAGCTCACTCTAGGACTTTGCCCTTGTTCTGATAGAGGCACGTTCAGTTGAGCAGATTTGATTTTATAGGAAGATAGAAGTCATCCTATTTGGGTTTTCTATTTCTTGCTCATTTTATTTACATACAGAGTAGTTATAAAGTCAGCAAGTTGCAATGTGTCATAGATGAGTGTAGATTAAACATAATGATGGTGGGAGTACTAACAGACAAGCAATCAATCTCAAATATCAGAGAAAATCAACACCTGCTATTTAGTGTGTATCATGCACTAAAATAGAGGGGCAGTATGACATTACTGCTTGTACTTTGCAGTTGACATTTTTAAACACATTTCCTATAAGTCAGAGATGACTTATACCTACACTATACTGTGAGCTAAATGTGATGATTTAAGGCAGTATCTTTACTGCCAAATGATTTAGAAGGAGGAGGAAAAAAACTCCATGGCAACCTTAACCAGGAAATGGAAAGCATTTAGAATTAAAATAGACCTTCACAGATGAAGAAACATACAAAAGCTTCAGACTACACATTATATCTAAGTGAAAACACTTTCTTAGGAAAGGAACACTGTGTGGCACATAAGTTGGCAGAGCCTTTTTTTGATAGCATAAAGATTTTACAGACTCATTATGCTGTTGATAAGTATGATACAGATACTTTTGAGAAATCAAGAATAAAAAATCAAGAGAAAATAATAAACTCTTAAGTATAGAAGAATCAAACTAAAGTCACTGACATTTCACTGACTTACACAAAATACTGTCAGTTAAGTGAATGTTTTTAGGAATTATAGACAGATCTTGTCTAGTTGCAAGGAATGGGGAGCAATACTGCCCAGTGAACCTCTTCAATTGACAGCATAATTGACCTTATCCTTATTCACTAGTACATCAGTCAGGGCTGTCCATAAAACTGATAGGAGGATATATATATATATATATATATATATATATATATATATATATATATATGTAGTGAGGAATTGATCATAGGGAATTGACTTTGGTGAAATCTATAGGGCAGGTTGACTGGTTGGAAATTCTGGTAGGTATCGATGTTGCAGTCTAAATTCACGGGGGAGGGGGGGTTATGTTGTAGTCTTAAGGCAGAATTACTTCCTCCTTGGAAAACCCAATCTTTGTGAGGCCATCAGATGTATGGATGAGTCCTAGTCACATTATGGAGGACAGTCTACTTTCCTTGAAATTATCTGTTAAGACATCTGCAGATACTTTCACAGCAACATCTAGACTTAGTGTTTGAAGGAACTAGGTGCCATAGTCTAGACATGTGGAACATAAAAATAACTGTCATGCTGTACTTCTTTTTTGTCCCCTGTGTTTGGATCTGTCATATCAGGGTACAAGCTCCGGGGAGTGAACACTCAGTCTTGTACATCATCATACACCTTGTAGCTTCATGCCCAACACATCATTAACCCTCACGAATACTGCGGGCAGCAGTTTCTCCGGTTTGCATTTGTGATAGAGGCCACTGCCTATAGTTTCTTCTGGAGTCACTCCACCCTTCACCTGGCAGGGACAGACAAGGAAGATAAATACATGGTCAGGTAGGAAGATGAAAGGAAAAGGCTAAGGAAAGCAGAGTAGGGAGGAACGAGAGTAAAAATGTTGAGAGAGAGAAGAAGATGGAGGCATCATGTGGCAAAAGCAGAGTGTTCTTCCTATGCCTGCCACAGAGCTAAATCTCCACTGTGCCTTAGGTCCACATAGAACTCCATCTATATTTTCTGTTTCCTCATTCAACGGTTTTCCTGGAACCCCTCATCTCTTATCCATTTTACTTCCTCTCTCCTCCTTAGTGCTTTCAGCTAGGATTTAAGGTATAAGCATCCAAAGGGTATTTTTTCAATATCAACCCTCCTGAGGACTGAACTACCCTTGTGAGTGCATCTGTGATGGGAAATGTTAGGCCCTAGTATACCCAGGTAGGTAGCTGAGGAAATAGAGTGGGGCCAAAAAACCTCTGAAGTGTTTTTGAACACATTCTGTTTTCCTACAGTCTTCCATCTTTTCTCACCTTATTCTAGGGCTGTTTTCCAGATAAGCTGTCTCTGGGCCTACAAGCCCGAAAGGCCCTGCCTGTTCTATTGCATTGTGGTAGTTAGAGACATGAGCTCTAGAGTTAAGGCCTCTCCACTGGCTTTCAGTCCCAGACCCACCACCTCCAATCTGGGATAGTGCACAGGAAACTGTTCTGTTCAGGACAGACCTCAGAATGTGGGCATGCTTTGCCTAAAAGGAGGTTCTGTTAACCTTCTCATGCAGTATTCATTTGCAAGTAGCTAACATCCTGTGTACCCAGTGACACATGGTCAACTATAGTTTAATCCCCATAGTTGAGAAATTTATCTTTCAGCAGAATTATATGATAAAAAGGACAAACCAAGCCAAAGTCTGAAAGGAGCACTCAAACTCACTTTACAAAATCATATTGCTTTTGCTTGTGCAGAATGTTTAAAATATAATTCAGTTCCTAGAGAAAAATATGAGCTTAGTCCTTAAGTCTAACATGTATTACTCCTTTAGATAGAAATCTCAGTCATTTTGCTGCAGACTTTTTCCCAGCATAAGAATTCTTCTTACAGTGGCCTTGAGAGAGAGCTGGGTGTACTACTTCAGGAGATGGTAGAGTTCCTGCTGCTTCATTTTTGTCAAGTCTGCCTGCAAGTAATTTTCATAAGTTGGTTGTAGCTCTGTACTTGAGAGAAATGTATAAAGGCAGAAACTTTGAGGCTTATGATATTCCTTGAGGTTTTCTAAAATACATGTCATGACTTCTTAATTTTTTCCTTCAGCTCAACTACCTAGGTTACTTCAACCATTCTGTACAACAGTTTATTCAATGTTTTTATTATCTTCCTGGATGGGCTATTTTTTTTTTTTTTTAACAAGAGTGAGAGAGGAGAGAGAGAGAATTTTTAATGTTTTAGTTTTTTAGTTCTCGGCGGACACAACATCTTTGTTGGTATGTGGTGCTGAGGATCGAACCCGGGCCGCACGTATGCCAGGCGAGCGCGCTACCGCTTGAGCCACATCCCCAGCCCTGGATGGGCTATTTTTGACAGTACCAATCATAAAATCTTATATCCAGAATTAGATATAATATTTTTGTATGTTATAATTTTGACTTTTATAATTTTTAAATTATAAATTTTACTCAGTTTGCTGGGTGCAGTAGCACACACTTGTAATCTCAAGGCAGGATGAGGCAGGAGGATCACAGGTTGAGGATTTAGCAAGGTCCTCAGGAACTTAGTGAGACTCTACCTTAAAATTACACATAAAAAGGGTTGGCGGGTAAAGCTCAATGGTAAAGTGCCTTGAGTTCAATCCTTGGTATAAAAGAAAAAAAAATGTATGTGTGTATATGTGTGTGTGTGTTCGTGTGTGTATAATACACACATACATGTACATAGTATTCATAATTTGTCCTAAGACTGCACTGGTGTTTGAAAACAGGTACACTTTGGCTCGTGTAGAATTCTCAGATATTTTTCCATGGGAACACACATTTCCCTGGACTTGTTCTACATTTAATTATTTGGATGTAATTGCAGAGGCTTTACTTAAATGTAAAGAAAGAATAAATGTATTCTTACTGTCTTTTTCTGGTTGCGTCATACTTCATGAAGTTAAAGTTATAAGCCTTTCAGACATGGTGTCTCCTCTGTTTTACCCCCCCCCCCAAATATTGAGCTTACCTCTTGAGCTACTAACCTTAGATTTGATTTCTATGGAAATCAAATTTAGAATTTTGAGGGAGCATTTGAGAATTTGAATTCATTGCTGGTAACTACATGAAGTCAAATGATCAGATTTTTATGTCCAACTTTAAGTTCCACTTTCTTAGGTTTCAGGGTGGAGTGGCAAATAAATTTTATAAGAAATCTGTGAAGTAAGAAAATACCTGTTTTCCTTATTTTTAATGGACTGCATATTTAATTTATTTATTTTGGCTGATGTAAAAAACATAGTTGCTTGCTCTTAGTTTAATTTGGCCAGAGGCAAGGAGAGATCAAGGAAAAGTTTAGCGTTGAGATGATTCTGTTGTACTGGCACCATTTATTTTGAATTACTATTAACTTGGGGTTTCAGTTTATTGCTGCCGAGTGTTTGAATACTGAAAAAGAACACCAGCAGTGTTTAAAAATTTTTTCTATCACATATTGATTTTTAAGACATTATATTTCTGTTCTTAAGCATATTGACATGTAAGTTCTTGGCTAATTAATACTTTGCTGTCATCAGTGCTCCTGACCTTTTGGGTGCCATAGAACCCTTCTATAATGTCTTAAAAATTATAGACCCTCTCACCAACAGACAGAAAGAGAAATTTTTGCCTTTAAATTTTAGAGGTTTTGTGGATCTGATTAAGATAGAAAATTAGATCCAGCTGCTGTAAAAGAGGAACACCCCCTCCATAACAATGGATTGCACAGATAGCAATTTATTTCTAAAATAAAGCCTGAGCTGGTACAGCAGCTCTGTCCCATAGAAGTTTCAAACCCAGAGTCTTCCTCTCTTGTGTTCCACCTTCCACAGTACCTTGACCTCACCCAACAAGTCTGGAAT